GGTGGATTCTTTCTCTTCTACCTTTGTGGAGAGATGTCTTGGGCTGGGAGGAAATTGTATTGCCCCAGCAGTGCACACAAACTCACACACGTACAGATCCACACTCACAGCCCTACACGCTGTATTGCACGTGCACCCTCACACCCAGCTGCTCATACATGGTGCACACCACGTACACCCCCTGGCTCTGGCTCTTCTTCCCAAGACAGGCATGAGAGGAGTGGCCTGGTACCCTCTGCCAGGAAGGACAAGGCCACGCGTGGCAGGGCCTGCACATTTTCTTCTTTTATTGGGCCTTTTCTTTCCTATGGTGCCCAAACCACCAGCTTTTCTGAGTCTTGCTCCTCCAGAGTTTCATTTACCCTCTGCTACTGCGTTTTTCCTTTATCTGGTGTTTCAACCTAATCACGGAAAAAGAAAATGTAGGAACAGTGAACACAATTCATTATGTTGTACACCTGAAACTAATATAATTCAATTACACATAAAAAAAGTGGCGAATAGGAAAACCACCAAAACAAAAACCCAAATCAAACTTACTGCTTTCTCCTTGAAATCTCCTAGAACTTGGGGTTTTCCCTCGGATTTCTCTTATTGATTTGTCAATTATGTATTAATTTTATTCATTAAATTTATTCAATGAATATTGGGAGTGCAGCTCGGGGCTGGGCATGCAGTAGGGTGTTCCGGGGAAAGAAAGAACTTGGGAGACCAAGATTTCCCTCCCACGCGAGTCCGCGCTTGGCTCCCCTCTCCCTCGGGCCCCAGGCTACGAACCCACCCTGGGAGGCGACGGGTGGGCGGGGCTTCTAATCCTGGCCCCGCCCCCGGCGAGCGGGAAAGCCACGCTGCTCCTGTGCGGTGGCGGGGGAGCCTCCAGACCAATCAGAGCCTCCCGAGCTGGAGGCGGGCTGCCCTCCTCCACCCTGCCCACTTGGCGCTCCGGCGGACCTGGTGGAAATCTGAGCCCGAGGTCCCCGCGCCGATGCCGTCGCTCCGCCCTGAGCTGAGTTTCCGAGCCACAGGGTCTGGGCAAGCCCCGGCCTCGCTTTCCCAGCGCCAGCATCCGCTTCCTCATTCAGCCACCTGGTTGGGAGCTCCTCCTCCGAACTCGGCCCTTGTTGAGCACAAAGTGTGGGTTAATCTTGACGTGTGGCTCAGTCACATCAGTCCTCAAGGTGCCCTAGTCCAGTCACCCCTCCCATAGCGTAGCGTTTGGTGTCAGGCCCACCTGAAGAGCACTAGGGCCAGGATCCTTCACCTTGGTGTTCGCATCTGGGGCCCTGCCACCCCTACTGGGCCAAGGTTCCTCTCATAATAGCAAACCCCGTGATGTGCCAGGGGTTGAGACACCTTAGGCAGACCCAGCACTTAAGCTGGGCAGCTGATGGGGCCTGTTTCACAGCTCCACAGTGCCTACTTTCGCTCTGCCAGAAGGTCCATGGGCTCTCCTTAGTGCACTACAGGTCTCAACTTCCCAGATCCTGTCGAGTCAGGTGGGCGAAAGCGGTTCTCACCCATCCACCACTGGCATTCCCTGACTGCATTAGCTAGTCCCTTCACTAGCTCTAAGATCCCAGTTTAGCTCTTCAGCAGATAGAGCTGGGAGAGGTAGCCTGATGGAAATTTTAGGGAAGTGGTTGGGAGTCAAGAAACAAGGGGCACTGTGAGGTCTTCAGCCAACGTCAAAATATACCTTAGCCTCAGTTTTTCCACCTATGAAATGGGGATGGTGTATAAATTGTAGAGATTGTGAATAGGCTTGTAAACTGAAGCACTGGACACATGCCCTTGGGCAGTGGTGGTGGCTGGAGGCTATGGAGATGAGATAATGGAAAGGGGGGGGGATTCAAGGAAAAGCCTTATCTTTGAGTAAAACTTGCATCTCATTAGTGTTTGTTAAGTTAGTTAATTGTCTGTTGCAAGAGACACAAAAAATAAGCAAAAAAATCACCTTATATTTCATTGCCCAGGGTTGCTGGCAGATGAGATTTTTGCTAAAATAGCCCCCAACCCAAACCCCTGATTTATTTTTTTTAGAAATGGAACTAAGTTTTTTCACCAGGGGGCATATTTTACCAATTTGTATTTTTAGAAAAAAATAGGCATCACACCCCACATTATCAAGAAGCCAGAGTTTCTCTCTCTCTCTCTCTCAATCTTGAGCTTTGTCAATTGTGTGATGGAGCTTATTTCTGTTTTTTTCATGGCTTAGTTTTTAAAACACTGCGCTGTGCAAGGATCACCTTGAGAAAGTGCCATTTGGTGTTTCAATTATGGCCATTCCCATCCAGCCCCACCACTGGCTACCCAAAGGGGAACTGTGAGAGTGGGGGTGGGGTTATGGTTTTATGAGTCAGTAAAGCAAATTGGAGGGTGTTGCCAAACTCGACTTTGGTGTACACTTTCCATGTCACTGGGTTCATAGCACAGAGGTTTAAAACAATATGGTGGGCAAAACACTAGACTAAGAATTAGGAACTATAAATTCTCTAATCCTGTCACTGATCCAGTGAATTTGGAACAAGTCACTTCCCATCTTTAGCTCTCAGTTTTCTCAACTAAAATAAAAAGGCCAGCCTAGGGCTCTTTCCTTTAAAGAATCATTTTCTGTTTCTTAAGGGAATAACCGAGGCACTACTTTTCGTTGTCTCCATAGTGACCACACCCCCTGACAAGCCATTTCATTCCCATGGCAACAGCTCTGTTTGCTCTCTCCACCGGCCTCTAGTTCTTTAGCAGCTGCTGCAGGTAGGAGGTTTCAGGACTTTGTTGAGGAGCCAGGATGCTGGCTCGTTTCTTTGTCTTACAGCTTCTGAGTTGATCCTAAAAGTTCTATTTCCACCTTGATGAGCTCACAGTGCACGTTGGTAGATTGTAGAAGTTGGCAAGAGAAAGAGGTATGAGGGCTTTTGTATATAAAAATAAAAACAAACACCAATATGTAAATGAAATTATCCAGACATTTTTGTCCCGCATCAAATCCCATTTATGGATGGCAGTTGTCAGTTATCATGAAACTGGCACACAGGCTGCTAATGTGAGTGTGTACAAATGCTGGCCTGGGAGGCAGGAGTCCAGCTAGGCACCATTAGATGAACGTGTGACATCCCACAACTCCCTTCCCTGTCCACGAGTTTCCACATCTGTATGACGATGAGGTTAGATCACTGTTACAGGCTGAGCTGCACCCTTCCCCCAATTCCTATGTTGAAGTCCTAACTCCCAGAACCTCAGAATGTGACCTTACTTGGAAATAGGGTCGTTGTAGATGTAATCAGTTAAGATGAGGTCATACTGGAGTGGGGTGGGCCCCTAATTTAATAAAAAGGAGATATTTGGACACAGATTCAGGCACAGGTGAAGATGAAGGCAGAGGTCAGGGTGATGTTTTATAAATCAAGGATGACCAAAGATGGCCAGCCCACCACCACAAGCCGGGTGAGAGGCATGAAACATATTCTCCCTCAAGGACTTCAGAAGTAACCGACTCTGCTGACACTTTGATCTCAGACTTCCAGCCTCCAGAACTGTGACAACACATCTCTGTTGTTGAAGCCATTCAGTTTGTGGTACTTTTTAAAGGTAACCCTAGCAACCGAATACAACTACATCAATGGTTCCCAATCTTTTCTCCACCAAGAACCCTTTCACTCTTTGTCCTTTTGCGGACCCAATTCATTTGTTTAACAAATATTTATTGAGTGCCTACCATATACCAGGCCCTTATTCTAGGCATTAGAGATACACAAAGTCACAAAGCACAGTTCTCTCCCCTTGTATTTATTCTACATTTTGAAAGACTTAGTCAGCCAAGTATACTATGGCTTTAGTTTAATAATAATTTGTGTGTTTTGTGATGAGATAACCAGGGTTACCTCATTAATGTGATATGATTAGTGTCAAAAATCTGAGAAAGGTGATGCTTTAAGTAGCTGTTGATCCATTGTAGCAAGCAAATACATTCACTAGATTTTAAAACATACTGAAAGTTGTTCTGAAAACCCTCATTACCAAATTTATGGATCCCTACAGGTTCAAGGACATCATTGCAGGGTGTCTAGCTAGAGCAGAAGTCAGCAAACGTGTCCTGCAAAGGGCCAGGTAGTAAACAGTTTAGGCTTTGTGGACCACAGAGTCTCTGTCACAACTATACTGCACTGCCATTTCGGTGTGAAGCATTCATAGGTGCAAACTGATGAGCTGGCCGAGTTCCAATAAAATTTATTTATGGACACTGAAATCTGAATTTCATATGATTTTCACCTGTTGCAAAATATTCTTTTGATTTTTTTCAACTATTTAAAAATGGAATAAGCCATTCTTAACTCACAGGTTGTAGAAAAACAGGTGGCAGGCAGGCTGTATTTATTTGGCCTCCTGGCCACAGTTTGCCAACCCCGGAGCTAGATTCTCTTTAATTCTGCTCTAGGTCTGACATTAGGTGGTTCTTATCCCCCTAAGGGTCTGGATGAGGCCCAGAGGAGGATTATGTTTGAACTCAAACCCAGGCTTCCTGCTGCCCAGTCCATGGCCCATGAACACAGCTCTAAGCTGCTGTATTTCGTCATGATTTCAGATGTAGTCTTTGTATCCATGTGGTGCAGAACATAGATGTGTGGTCAGCGGCCCTCAAGCAATAACCATGTAAGGGCTGTCCTCTTATTAGCAGCCAGTGGCAACCTAATTTTGTCAAGCCTGACCCTAGGCTTACAGAACCCCTTTCGTTTATACCTCTCTTGGGTTGCGCAGGCCCAGGAGGCCCATCTGTCCTTAACTATTTGAGTCGCCGTTGTCTCATTGGTAGCTTTCTGAGCAGCTGCAAAATATGTTTTTAAGTTTACGTGTAAGTTGGGGGTCATGGGCGCCGGGCCTGGAACAGTCCCTCTCTGCAAGGGCTTTTCCAGCTCTGACATTCTCTAGCTAACCAACTCTGGTGAGTGTTTTTAACTCCTCCCACCTTCCCAAGGCTGGACTTTCACTGTGGGTAATAATTAATGAGGCGTTTGCTCAAGGGCTGGGGAATAATGTGCACTGCTTTTCTGTGTTGTTGTCGTCGGAAACTGCTTGGTTGCCTAGCACCACAGTCGTCTGCCTGCTCGTCCTTCTTCTCTGCTCATCCTTCGCTGCTCATCTGCTCTGGTCGCCTCGCAACCGCAGCTCGGCGACAAGTGCCGGGACGGGGACAAGAGGTGCCCGCGCGCGCACAGGGGACCATGCTGCGAGGCAAGTCCCGGCTCAACGTGGAGTGGCTGGGCTACTCGCCCGGCCTGCTCTTCGAGCGCAGGCCGCTCCTGGCAGGCCGCACGTCGCGGAACCCCGGCCGGTAAGTCACGTGAGCACCCGCGCCCCCGCCCGAGCCTGCGCCCGCCACGGCCCTCGCGTCACCGCGGCGCGCCGCGCCTGCGCGCTGCCTCCCGCCGCCGGGAGCTCGCCAGCACTTCCTGCGCGGCCCGCTTCCACTGGTCGCCTGCGGAACCGGCGGAGCGCGGCTGCGGAGTCCGGCTCGCCTCCCATCGCTTGCCGCTGGCGCGGCGACGCCATGGAGCGCCTTGATAAAGCGGCGCTGAACGCGCTGCAGCTGCCCGACTTCAGGTAGTCCCAGCGGGGCCGGGGCTGGGCAGGGCTGGCCTGGGGCGGGGCATGAGGGAAGGTCAGAGCCGAATGGCCTGGCCTGCAGTGGGCAAAGGTGTAGACAGACCTTCGGGGCCGGGCTATGGGATGCGGGAGAGGGGAAGCAGGTTGGGGGCTGCACACGTGGCCCCGACCCTTTGCTCGGGAGCAGGGACTCGGGGTCTTTGGGGGCTAGGTCAGCGGGCCTTCGGCTCATGCCTCTGTCCTAGCACTTCCTCTCGCTGTCGTCCGTTTTGCGATATTGCTGTCTGCAATCTCTCTCCCCACTGCAGGGTGAGCTCCCTGAGGACAGGAACCTGGCCTTCTCCATCTCCTGCAGGGCCTGCACCGTCGGGGCTTAGTAAATGTTTGCTGTGAATGAACGAATGGAAGGGAGTAGGGGCTGTCCCTGGTTTGAGACTGGTCTGCTTGGGGGCTGCTCGCTGAGTAGAAGGAATCTGGGGAGAGCTGGTGGTTCTGGCCCACTAGCCTAGCCAATGATACCTCGGTAGGCAGGAGGGTGGGGAGGGATTTAGCCTCCATTCCGTGATCATGACCTACTGTGTGCCACACTCAAACTAAGCACTTTATTGCGTACTGTAGCAAAATAAGAGAGTGCTTAGTTTCCTTTTTTAAAAGATGAAGTTGACTCAGGATAAGTGACTTGCCTAAGATCACACAGTTGGGCCACCCTTTTACTAAGTGTTGAGGCTGGCATTTGACCAAGCCCACTGACTCCAAAGCCGGTGATCTTTGGAGCCCCGTGATCATTTCACTCACAATGTAGGTGTTTTATATTACTGTTTACTAATGAGGATGCCAACAGAGATTTTTATTAAGCACACCTAGAATACGCAGTATAGCCTTCCTAGACTGATTCTAGTGTTTCCTGATGGAATCTATTTGCAATGGAAGTCTTGTTACAAAAGGGACCGTGGTAAGCTCCATCTGCTTAGTCTTGCTGCAGAAGTTTATGTGAAGTGGGGAAACTCTAGGTACTTTTAATAGTAGGGACGAAATAAGGTTCATCTTGAATTACTCTTTTGTGTGAGGCCAACTTTAATTCTGGACTTTCCTATTCATTTCTAACAAATCTCAGCAACACATAGAAGAAACCAACTGAATGACATTAGGTGCTTTGTTTTGGAATAATTCATAGGTTATACCCAAGCTGGCTTATGCCAGCAGAACTGCTAGCTGCAGTGGGCTGTGGCTGGAAGTCAAGGAGAAAATGCCCTATAAACACTAGAGGACATTGGCTAGTTCTCATAAATTTGTATGCTTAACTTTATACTTAGTCCCACATGTGTGAGGTAACAACCCAGAATGCAGTCAGATTTTTGGAGCTTAAGGTAAAAAGAGAAGTGAGAAGTGGTTGAAGATGAACTACAAATTGTTAAGATATGCTGGATGTATTGTTAAGCTATGCTGGATGTAGTGTGTGAGGCTAGAAATTAACATGCAGAAAAGAAGACTAAGCTTGGGAAGTGGGATTGTAAGTAATTTTATTTGCTTTTAAGACACTTTTTTATGGTGTTATATAGTCTTTTCTATAACAAGCTTCTCTCAAAGCCAGACCAGTTAGTAGATACTCAAGAGAGATAATTTGAAGAACAGAAGAACCAGTTAGCTCCTCCTTCCTGAAGCTTTGTTTCTTTTTCACGGTATAATCTGAATTTTGCATACCTAAAACATAATTTAACTCACCATAGAAACACCAGGAAGCTCAAGTGTTTTGTTAGGGACCACAAAAGAAATGGCCAAATACCGACTTTATATTTTTTATACAAATACTGAAGACACTCATATTCTTTGAGAATTTTACACAATAAATCCCTCTCAGAATTTATTACTAGGAAACAGTTGAAGGGAGTTTGTGTGTATTAGATGATAATTGTAATAATCAGTGAGCACCAAAGTGGGATCTGGTAAAAGATGGTCTATTGAAGTCCAGAAAAGAAATGTCAGAGCTACATAAATTTATTTGTAACCATATTCTTTCTAGTATCTTTCTGTACATATTTTATATTTTAAAGAAGGTATCAGTAATAAGTGTATAGATTATTTATTTAAAAAAATATGCCTATGTGGCAATATGTACTCAAAACTTTTATTTAATGATGGATTGCACAGGTGACAAAGTTTGTAGACCATTGATATAAACTTGAGACATTCCTTTCCTTTCTGGAATGCCAGAAACCTTCCAGCTAATTGTATACAGTTATAAAAACCCTTTGCCTGGATTTTCTGGGGGTACAGAGAAACGTGCAGGAGTATGTAGGAATAAGTTGTCACATTAAGCATTGTAATAACAGGAATGAACTAAGTGTAATTGGCTCCCTGAGCAATGAATCCTTAACAGCTGGTGGAACCAGGAAAGGTGCCTGGAGGAGAGGCTCTTTTGGGGGGTCCTTGAAGGATGCCTGTCTCCTCAAAGACACAGATAAAAACCGGAGCCTCTATCTGAGGACTACCAGAAAGAGAATTAAGTTCTAGTGTCGACAATAAGCATAAAGTTAGAAGTGTGTTATGTTGTTTGAGGATGGTTAGATTTAAGGGGGGAAAAGGGCCTTAACCTAGGGGATGGAGTTATAGTGCTTCCTGCCTTAATAATGTTTGAGGCAGTTTGTGTATGTCCAGGGTTGCTGGGGGCCTACTACAGCTTCACTCTGAGTGGTGTTGCTCATTTGTAACAATCAATAGGACAAAAGCTGACATTTGTTTGCTTACTAAAAAGTCAGTAAACAACATTATGGAATATTTTGAAAATAGGAAAATAACTTTATTTTTGTATATTAATCTGGAATCCTTTTTTGTGTGCACACATTTTAATATAATTGGAATACATCAGGGATTGGCAAAGTTTTTCTGTAAAGTGCCAGATAGTAAATATGCTAGGTTTCTATGGCCATATAGTCTGATGCCATTACTCAGCTCTGCTTTTCTAGCTCAAAGCAGTCTGAGATGAGGCATCGACACATGGCTATAGCTGTGTTTCAGTTAGACTTTATTTACAGAAATAGGCAGTGGACCCTTGGGTCTTAACTTTGCAGACCCCTGACATACATAATACATTGTAATCTGCCTTGTCCATTTGTTACACAAATACTTTCTGAATAATCATTACAATTTTCTTTTAGTGTCTCCATTTATTTGATGTACATCATTTGCAAAGTCATTTTCCTATAATTGGACATTTTCATGTTACCCAGTTTTGTTTGTGCTGTTAATCTGCACATTGCTAATATTTTAATTAGCAATTCCTTAGACTTGTTTTTCTTTAAGTATATACTTTTAAGAGCTTAATTGCATTCTTCAGAAGTTTTATTGTATTCTGAAGCAAAACTTTTCCCACTGGAGTATTTCCTTGATTTTAAAATAGTCTGTGGACAAAGAGAATTCACTGAATAGAAAGTGTTTTGGCATGAAACTTTTAATGCATCCATGTTATGTGAAGGCCAGCTTAGCTGTACTATCGATGTTTAATCAGCAAGAAATTTGAGTAAATTTCCTTTACCTACATCCAGATTATTCTCAGCTGCTTTTTCTCTGGAGATTCTCATACCCTGATAGCACTGTATTAAGCTAGCCATTGATCAGGTGGTTTGTGAATGAACACTCATTAGTTGTTTGCATCTTATCTGTTGCTATCGCCATTGTAAATTCTGGAATTACGGCGTGCATTTGCATTGTGGAGCACTTTAGAGAGTGAAAAACCACTCTCATGCTGTGACAGTTCCTCTCACACTGGATCTGAATGATAGGCTCTTGGAGATGGACTGGCATCTGGGTCTCTAGTATCTTCCAGTTTTGAGTCCCTAACTCTGCTGTTCCTCTGCTTCCAAGGAAGGAGTAGGGTTCCCAGGATCATCTCAGGGTATTTATGGTGTTTATGGACACAAGAGCGGTTGGAAATGGCTATGCAGGTTCTGATTTTCTCTTTGTTTACTTTTTTCCAGAAACGAAAGTTCATTAGCATCTACCCTGAAGACGCTCCTGTTCTTCACAGCTTTAATGATCACTGTACCTATTGGGTTATATTTCACGACTAAATCTTATGTTTTTGAAGGTAATCCTAGACTGTAGAACAGAAGATTTTCTCCCTTGCTGTATTTAAAATTCTCTGCTTTTATGACCTCTTTCTATCTGTAAACTGGGTAATCTTAATTTTGCTTCTTCCGTCTGTTTTGCTTTTCAAAACTAATGTTGCATAATGAGCCTTACTTCATGAAATGAATTTTTGCATCGCTCAGCTCATTTCAGCCTGCCGTCATATTCGTTTATGGCTTTTGTGAAATAGCTTGCAGAGCCTTTCTTTTAGTATCCCTTTGAGAGCAAGAGTTGGCTGACATGGGCACAGGAATCTGGGGGAATGTTCCTTTGGTGGCAGACATTGGAAGGAAAAGAAAAAGTTTTTTTTTTTATCAAAGTCCTTAGATGAAGTGATAATTACTGTTTACATGCAAAATAATGTTCTTTGTGTATAAGAAGGTATTCAGATCTTTAAATGAATGCTTGATTTAACACCACTCAGAGCATTACTTTTTAATTGCCTGACTAGGTCAATAAATGTATAGCTAATAAAAATTAGTAGGCTGTTTTTTGCACTTTGATAAATTTTGGAATTAAATGAGAACCTTTTTTCTCTTGACAGGCGCCTTTGGGATGTCCAATAGGGACAGCTATTTCTATGCTGCTATTGTTGCAGTAGTCGCCGTCCATGTGGTGCTGGCCCTCTTTGTTTATGTGGCCTGGAATGAAGGCTCACGCCAGTGGCGAGAAGGCAAACAGGATTAAAGTGAGCATCACCTTTTGATAGCATTAAATTGATTTTTTTAAATGGTAAATGCATCCAGTATACTGATGATTTCAATAAAGTTGAAAACATGTTAAAATCTGTTTTAAGGAGTCACGTTTGACTGGTATAGATTTTGATCCCTCTAATACTGTGGTTGGTATCATCACTTTCAACTGTATGAGCCTCTCATTTGCAAATGAGATTTTAGAAAATTTTAAATTGGTTAAAAATAAGTATACTAAATTGGTTACACATTCTGGGAAGAATTTTATTATCCTACAATAAAAAATGTTTTGTAGTGCTTTGTCTTTTGGTTGGTTTTGAGTTTTACACCCCTGGATATTTTCAGATGTACACAGTAAAGCAAACCTGAACTTCCCTTTTCACCGGAGTGCTCTTTCTAATGGTCATGAAAATACCAGCTCATTGTATTTTTGGTTGTAAATTCCTGTGGAAAATTGCTTAAATTGTGAGCACTGGAATGAATCTGAATGCCCCTGAGAAATGTCACAGAAAGTGTAACCCCTAGTCAGTAGGAATCTACATTATTTCCATGCCTGTTCATCTAAAAGGACTAGTCTATTGAAGGAACTAGATAGCAAAGCAAAGAGCTATCAGCGTGGACACTGGCCTGCTCCCTAAAGGCCCCTTGTAGGCCAGCGCTTTGATGATGTGCTGTACTCTGTCATTCACAGTGAAGTCATGCTTTATTTAATTAGAAGGTTTGTGTCAACTCCCTTTAAATTTGTTTTTCCTACATTTCTATAATATATATGAAAAGAATTTACATTTAAATGTATTTGTTTTGTATAATTGGGAGTACAACCAATCCTGAAAATAGAATATTTTTATTACCCAGGAAGTATTCTCTCTGGGATCACTAGTCTAGTCTTCCAAATCAGAGCTGTTACATCCCAGATATCTGTAGTTAGGTAATCCTTGAGGCCCTTCGTGATATAAAAAGACCCTGTGGTTTTACTTCAGTGTCCTTAGTCTCTTTTCTTCCCAGCCACTTGGTACTACTTGTGTGCAGTCTAAAAACACACCTTGAGAAAAGCATATTAAAACAGGAAGAAAATTTAAATTCCCTATAATGTTGCCACGTGGAGATAAACACTATTTTGGTTTATATCCTGTGTATATTTCTTAATGTTAGTTGGATATACATCGGAAATGTGGTTTAAGTTCAGATTCTGCCAACTTCTCCTGACAGCTATCTCATACCTTACAGATGAATAATTGTTGGCCATTTTCAAGAAAGGGACATCGCATTGTTCAAATTTCCTGTGACTGGTCATTCCAGATGCAGTGGCCCTTGCCATGCTTGCCATGCCGATTGGTTTATGCACCCCTGTGTTTGATGTTACAGAATTGGACTGAAGAAATGGATGGTTAGGCATAAAGCCAAGTAGGCATTTGTACTTAATTGTTGGGAAAAAAAAGATGATCATTGTAGGACTGTTTTTTTCTTATAATTAAATATTATCTATAGTTCAAATGTCTTCCAGCAGTTATTTTAAATGTAAAGTGTTCTCTTTAAAAAAGACTATAGTTTTGCAAGTTGCAGTGCTCCAAAATCTTGCAACTATAGCCTATCTACTGTTAAAAGAACATATGGGATGTGAACAGTTCCCAGGAATGTGTTGTTTTAATTTGTCTGATTTTTCTCAACTATTCAAATTCAGTTAGACAATATCCATCATATATCATGGATAAGTTTTCACAAATGCCTAGGGTGCCTAACTGGTTTTTTGGTTTCACTGGATATGGCTGGTAATTGTAGGTCTGCTTTGGTTATGTAGCTGTATTCCTATTATGTTAATGTGTGTACACAATTTAATTAGTAGTTTAAAACCTATACATGCTTATGTTACTCTACAAGAAGATATGTCAAAGAAATAATCTTCCCATGTTTTCTTCCATCTGCTACTTCTATAGCTTTTCCTTCCTAATTACAACCCTTAAGTAGAATTCGTGCCTCGTATCGAAATTACTGAGTATCATAATTCTTCCAAGTGGTAAAGATACCTCAAGACAAATGCTGGGCATAGAAGCCACAGGGCATAAATCTGCAAAGAAGTAAAAAGCTAACCTCTTCAAACAATATTGCTTCTCATTTACCAACTTTACATTTCCCTGTATGGCCCCGGAAGATGACTGGTTAGCCAGAGACGGGTAAGATTCCTCAAGGGAGGAACAACCTAAGGCAGGCACAGTTGCAGGGGGGCCATCAGGTGAGAAATTGGGGATCAACAGAGGTGAGGCTTAGAACCCCACCCTCACTGTTTTGAGAGAAATCTTCTGCATCCGTGGATGTTTTGTTGCCCTTGTCTAGCTCGGATAATACTTAGTCTACAGGCACACACCTGATCATCTACATTTGCCCTCTTACAGCACTAAACTATGTTTTCTACCTTTATCCTGCATCTACCTACCACTTCAGCATTTTATTAAAAGTAATAATAATAATAAGGAAGAAATGTGGGATTCACATATAAATCAAGTATAAAAATCAAACGAATATTCATATTTGACCTGATTGTTTATAGTTCATGATGCATGATCAAAACGGAAAGTTTCTGTGATGACTGACTGCCCTTGCACTGTTCACCATGTAAGAACTTGTTCGTTATGCTTCAGAAGATTGGAGACTGTTGAGAACTAGGCTTGGGGTTGATTAATGATTGTGCATTGAGTCCCCTATACAGAATTTTATTGTTGTTAACAACCATTTGATCAAAAAATATGAGAGATGCCCTCTCAAAAAAAAAATAAAGCAAAATGAAATAATAATAAAAAAAGACTACAGTTTTAGTATGGAATTGTACAAATTTAATATGATTGTCGAACCCCTAGTTTGAGTCTGGGGTTTGGGGCGCTATGTGGTGGATTTCTAGGTGGTCCTGTCTTTAGACGCCTTGTCACCTCATTTCTTTTTCTGTAATGCCAAGGCTTTTCTTGTACTTTTGGAATCTTATGCTTTCTGTAAAATATTAATGTCCAAGGTTGGGTTATTTTGTTTGATTTCAGACATTTGCTGAATGGATAATGTTAGGAGTATTTTTCTGTATTTAAAACAGTGATTCGTGCAAAGCAGTTGTAAATTCCTCTTGGAAAAAGTACCAAGTGTTTAAAAGTTAGAATCAGATGGTAGCATTGATATTTAGGATTATTACAATATAGGCTTATTTCCAAGCCAGTTAATTTTTCCCTAGGGTTTTAACCGTTAATTTACTACTTTGCTGCTATTGAAATAACATTGTATTTGACATACAGATTTGTTTTTCAAGACATCTCACTGATTTCCTCTTGGACAATGTACATACTTTAGAATGTATAGAAAGGAAAGCTACAGTGGAGCCCTTGTAAATGTTTTAAGATAGTGATATGTTCACTCTTGTTTGAAAATGGATTGTAAGAATAACCTCAGTTAGGAAGTATAACTGGAAGTGTCAGTATAAGCTACTGATTTAACACATTACCTCCCATTTTGTACCCCAGAATATAATATTTTTTCCCATTGTGCTAAAAAATGAAAAGTCTGCTGTAGAATGCATCTGATGTCACTAGCTCTTCAAGTGGTTACCATTTTACATGTAACACCAGAATTCAGTTTTGAGTTTTTACTAAAGGAATTTAAACCTCCCATTTAAAAAACCCTGTATTTCATGGGAATCTAGCAGGAATACCTTGCAATAAATAGACTTTTCATCATAAAAATCTCATCAGCTTTGCCGAAAGAGGCAACTGATTGTCCTGTTTGGTGTTTATTTGCCATTTTCATGTAAATTTTAGAAATGCAGCTGGAGTACTCAAGGAGACTAGTAAAAACAGTTAAAGAAATGACATGTACCTGAGAAAAGATGAAAGCTGAAGGTACGTGGAACAGGATCTAAAGCCTGTTGTAGGTGTATCTCGTGTGTGTTTCCCATCTCCAGACAAGTTCCTGTATACTGTCTTATTTATGCTCTAGTGAAGTTGTAGATTGTTGTTAGGCCCATTGCATAAATGGTTTGACAGCGGCACGGAATTTGTCACTTGTCTTAGGCCACCAGCGGATTGCTGTGCTGTCCAGCATTCTGTGTCCTCCATCAGAAGAGCACCACCTTATTAATTCAGATTCTACTCTTACATTTAAGATAATTAATTGCAAGCTGGGCTGGAGCAGCATGTGAATAACTTGATAAGATTTCTTTTTGCTTTTTGCAGGGAGAAAGGGTCACCTGAGAAAATAAATGATTTTCAGGGTCTTTGGGAACATGATAAATACTACAGGTAATCTATGAATAGCTTCATTCTTTATATATTCACTAAAATAGTCTGGAATTCTTCAGTTTACCAACACTCTTGGCCACGCTTTCCCTGCCTGTTTTGTTGCCGTGTGTACTTGAAAATAATATCTGCTTTCCTTTTAAGATTTTATGAGTCAGATTTGTCAGTTACACAGACTAGTCTTCCTTTTCCTCAAGTTCAGTGAAATCTCACTGAACAGTAATAGCAGCAGCAGCTAACAGCATCTGCACGGCACCTTACAGTTTGCAAAGAATGTTCACATAATCCTCTTGAGTTTTACACTAGTGAAAATGTTATGAGATGTCTCTTGACATTGATGCCAGAAGTGTTAGAATCTTTAAACATCGCTAGAGTCATTGAATATGCTGTGATCTTGAATAGTGTCCTAACCAGGGACAGGGTTTAGGTGCCATATGTCGAAAGCTGTGTGTAATTGTCAAAATGGGGGACTTGAGTTCTTCAGCCACTTGAATCAGATTTACTTTCGGTAAGTGATGCTTTTCTAACCGTTACCTAGATGAATTTTGTATTCATTGTATTATTCTAGCCTGTAATTTGTATACATTTAACATCTGTTGTCATTAAAAAAGTGTTTATAATGCCATTTTGATGTGTCCTGAATCAATTAATAGAAAGTTCAGTAACCTCTTCATTTTTTTTTCATTTGTTTATACCCTATGTATTGTACTGTCAAGGGTAAGCATTTATGCAGTAGTGTATATCAGAGGTGCTGAAACTGGTGGGGGCTGTGAGGGGTGCTGAGATGGGAAGACCCATTATCCCCAGTCTATGGCGAGCCCTTTAGAATTGGTGTGGCATGGGGGGAAGAAAGCTCCTTGCCCCTTGGTGTTTAAAAAAACCCAAACTCATTTGGGGCTTCATGGGCTGCATATACTGCTAAAGGAGTGAGGTTGAGAAACACTTTGGGCTAAGTAACTAAAGATGGGGGTGGTCAGTGCCTGCGATGTCCAGCATGCCAGCCCCCCATGCCTATGCCCTGTGTCCTTGCTCCTCTAGCCACCTACTGGACATACTCCATCTCCTTTCTATGCTTCTGAGGGCTCTAGCTGGTTCTCATTAATACATACTATATAGTTCCAAAGAAGATTTGAGATGTCTTAGTATCAAAATAAACATATTACATACAATCGTATTTACATAAAAAGGTACAGGTTATAAAATGTCCAAGGAACTCAGGACACAGGTAATGGCGTTGCAGACACCACTGGAACCACCTTGCAGCACGTACTGCCCAGACCTAACCCAGATCTACTGAGTTAGAACCTCTGGGGGTGGAGCCTGGACATTCCTGTCTGTGACAGGCTGCGCTTTGGCACAGCTGGTTTGAGAACTGCTGCTAGAGACTGACGACTGTATATGCATGTTCTTCATGCTGAGCTTGAAGATGATTTTATAAAGTAGCGCTGAAATAGGCACTTTATTAGAATCCTGCATAATCCTATATTGAAGGTTCCGTTTAAAATCAGGAGACCTTCACTGGGTCCCTGACTTGCCATATTGATTTTGCTTCATGGTAATGAGTTACCTTAAATGGGGGACAGCCCACTTAGAAACAACTTAGGCTTTTGAGACATGGCACTGCTCGTCTGAGGCCTTCCCCTTATTTGGAATCCTCATTGCTGTGGTCTTTGGAGAGGGAACAACACACAGGACTTTAAGCGAATCTGCTTTCAAAAGTAAAGGAAGTAATGGGAGAAAACCGGACATGGTTTCCCAGGCAAGTGTGCTCTGCGAACAGTGTGACTCCCTGCCCCCAAATATCTGTCCTCACTGCATACATCTTCCCACTTCATTTCTCATCACACTGTGCTGTTCTGCCTGTGAAAGATTCACCCTGTTGGAACACAGGATTCAGTGGAGAGCAATTACTCATACCCACAGCCCAGCTGGTGTGTCCCTGCGAAGGGGCATCCAGCTGCCCCGAGGGGATGGGCATTAGGAGTTACAATCCCTGTATCTCCACTTCTCACCATCTTCACAGCCATCACCTGGGTCTAGACCAGCTTCACTTCTTGCCTGGTGCCTCTAACTGCTCTCTGCTGTTCTTGCTCCTGTAGTCATTTTGCTGCAAAGCAGCCAGAAGGTTCCTTTGAAAGTATTTGATCAGGCATGTCATACCTCTGCGCAGAATCCTCCTAATAGCTCCCAGCCACACTCAGTAAGATCCAGACTCGATGCACAGCCTACAAATGAGGCCACTTTCTTCATTTCATTCGCTCCCCCTTGCTCCACAGTTGCCGGCCTCTGAGACTTCTTCGTGGTGCCCAACCTCCCACGCTCACTCCCACCTCGCAGCTTTGCCCTGGCTCTTCCCTCTGGCACACACCCCGGTCCGCGGATCTTCCCAGGGCTGGCTCTTTCTCACCCTTCAGGTCTCAACTCTTGAGGGAAAGTCACAAGTTCCCCACCGCTCTTACAACACATAAGGGATGAAATTACCATGTTTTTTTATTCACCTCCCTCCACTGAAAACGTAAGCTCAGGAGGGTAGGCACTCTCTCACTCACAGAATGTCCAGTGCTCAGCACTTGTGTGAGTAAGGATGTTCTTGATCAACTACAGGTAACAGAAAGTGCAGTTCAAATTGGTTTAAACTGTGGAAAAGGCCAGAGCTGGGGCTAATCCATTGGCACAGTTTAATTAGGGTTCTGCTCCATTTTTTTCCCGATCCTCTGCATGTCCTAATCAGTGCGTTGGCAACATCCTGAGGCTTCCCTCCCTCATGATGGCAAATTGGCTGCAGCCATCCCAAGGCTTCATCACTAGACAATGCCCATCATTGGTGGGTTTATGCCTGGACAAGTGCCCAGTCCCAAACCTATCACTGGATTATACTGGTTCATTTAGGCCACTCAATGACCACCCCTGGGGAGGGGCTTGATGCTGGTGTGGCTCCCAGCAATGTTCACTGCAGGGCTCAACAGATCTATTCAGTGAGTAAGACAACATGCAGTATGTACATTTATATGTACATATGGAAATGGCTGTGGCTGGGGATACAGATATACATGTGAATATGGATGCAGATAAATCTGGATATACATATAGACAGATACAAATGGAGGCATCGGGAGACATGCACTTTGGTGCATGGAACAAATGTCAATGTTGGGACAGGGCAGGGCCTGGGGTGGGGCTCTTCTCTGAAGCACCTTACAGCTGCGTGAGGTCTGGGTGTGCATCAGCGGCAAGATACCAACACAGTCCCTCTGTACCAGATTTTGTCTGCCTTCTTCCTGCCTCAGGAAGAAGATTGAAACAGTTGGAGGGTCACCGGAATCACTGTCTCATCTGTATCTGTGGCTCCCTCTTTCCAGGACTGCATGCTGCTCTGAAGCCCTAAAACACACCCTCTTTCTTAACCGCTCTTCAGCACACATGTGGCTCTTTGGAAATGTATACGTGGGAGGAGAGGTTTATGCCTGCGCACCAGCAGAGCAGCTGTGCAGCCAATGTACTCTTCGCGGAGATGACACCAGGGTTTTGTCATTTCAGGAGGTCCCCCAGAACGCAGCAATTGCAGCCCTGCTGCTAGGATCCAGCTTAAGAGCTGTCCCGCGGGCAGAAGTGCTGGGAGGCAGCTGTCATGCGGTCCACGCATACTCGCTGGTGCCCTGCTGTGTGGTTCATCGAGCAGCAGCCCCATCATCGAGTTTAGCTCCAGCTGTTAACATGCACAAAACCAGAAAGAATTAGTGTAGAAACAGGATCTGATTTTCTCAGCTATGTGTAAACTATGGAAATATGTTTTAGAGAAAAGTGTATGTTGCATATCCAGATTTTATTGCTTTAAAATATTCACAAGAGAAAATGAAAATGTTTTGGGTCTGTGAAAAAGGAAGTCTGTTCACATTTCTATATTTCATTTCTTTCCTAAAAATCGGATGTAGGACAGGCTGAAGGCGTCGCTGCCTTTTTACCCTAGTGTTTGTGCTGCTCCTAAGCTAGAGGCCCAGTCCTCTGCCTCCCCTCTTTGCTCCCTCCTCCCTCCTGACCCACCTTGGGCCAACTAGAATGCAGATTAAATGTTGAGTGGGAAATGAATAGAAAGCCCAGTAAACTGGAACAAGCAAGACACATTAAACCAGCTGTTCCAACTGACTTGGCAAAAGGCTGTGGTGGGGATTGCCACTTGTGATAGGCAGAATTCTCAGATGCCCCTCAAGAGTCCCATCCCTGGCACACATGCCTTGGACCCTCCCCTCCCCTTGACGTGTGAATGTGACAGGATAGTAGCTCCCCGGGTTTGATACCACAGGCTGGGTTGGGGGCAGGGGGCTTCAACAATGGAGATGCGTGGTCTCCAGTTCTGGAGGCTGGGAGTCCAAGATCCAGGTGTGGTTGGGCCGGTTTCTCTGGAGGCCTCTTCTTGGTGTGTAGACGGCCGCCTTCTGCCTGTGTCCTCACTTATAAGGACACCAGTCAGAGTGGAGTAGGGCCCACTCCAATGACCTCATTTTACCTTTATGACCTTTGTAAAGATGTTCTTGCAAATGCAGTCACATTTTGAGGTAATGGGGGTTAGGCCTACAACATGCAAATTTGAGGGGGGGCACGGTTCAGACCAGAACAGTTATGGTGCATAGTCTGGGAGGCAGAATAATGATTCCTCAAAGATGTTCACATCTTAATCTCTGGAATGATCTCTGCACTCTACAAGTGCAGATAGAATGAAGGCTGCTCTTAAGGCAGGGAGAGCGTCCTGGATTATCAGAGTGGGCCCAATGTTACCACAGGGTCTCATGGGAGGATAAAAAAATGGCACCCAGAAGATAGATTCACTTCCTAAATCCCTAGGACCTATGAATCTTACCTTCTGTGGCAAAAGAGTAGATATTACCTCCAACAGAAAATGACAGGATGAAATTAAGGATCTTGAAAGGAGGGACTAATCTGGATTATGCTGGCAGGAGAATGTTCGATAATCCCTGATAATTTAAATGCAATCACATGTATCCTTATTGGAGGGAGTTTGAGAGACTCACACAGAGGAGAAGGTGGGGTACAGACAGAGGCAGAGACTGGAGGGCCATGGCCATAAGCCCAGGAAGCCTGAGGCCCCCCAAAACTGGGAGAGGCAGGAAGGACCCTGCCCTAGAGCCTTGATTTGGACTTCTGACTTCCAGAACTGTGAGAATAAATTTCCCTTGTTTAAAATCACCAAGTTTATAGTAATCCATTATGGCTGCCACAAGAAACTAAGACAGGTCCTTAAAAATGGAAGAGGGAAGCACAAGAGGAAGGCCCAGTCATGTGTGAGAAGGACCCTGGCTTTCAAGACGGAGGGAGAGACCCAGGAGGCAGGGAATGTGGGCAGCCTCTAGGGGCCCATGACTGCAGTTCTCGGGATAGGTCATCAGATTCTGAAAACACCTTCATTAGCCCAGTGGTGTTCCAGGGGGAGCTTCAGGATTCTCGAGGCCTAGGAATTAAACAATGGTTTGCTTTTCATTTCAATCAGCCCGACCACCAGCTGCTCCCTGGGCAATTTTGCTCACACTCCCTATTTCCAGTGCCCCTCCCTTTGCCTGGTACAGTATATGTTTTGAGTGAGTGGATGTCATTCTGTATTATGTCCCTTTATAGAACTCTTTCTTTTGAGTTTGACATTAATATCGGCCTTCTGTACCCTTGAGCCCCTGGGCCTGCCATGGAGGGGGAGTGCTGGCGGGTGGAGGCAGCCCTGCTAAGGTCTCTCTCCACACTAGTAGGGGGCAGCCTCCAGAATTAGGCCCCAGATCTGCTCTCAACATAGTGTTTTACAGAATGCACATTATTCATATTGGATATCATTCAAAGATAAGAGCAGAAATTGATGAAATTGAAAACAGAAAAAAAATTTATGAAAAAAAGAACTGGTTCTTTGCAAAGGTCAACAAAATTGACAACTTCTAGCAATTCTGACCAAATAAGATATATAGGCACAAACCACAAATGACCAATATCAGGAATGAAACTGGGGATATGATGGCAGACCATGTAGACTTCAAAATGATGATAAGGGCATGTGATGAACAGCGCACACACATGCATTTGATGATTTAGACAAAATGAACCAATGTCTGTCTGTGGTTTGAGATGTATACATATGTTCTGTGCATTTGGAGCAGCGCCCACTGATGCCTTCCATCATGACGGTACCGCACTGGGGTTGTCACCGCCCTGATCACCTCTGTGCTCTGCCTATTCATCCTGCCTCCCCCAACCCCTTCCCTGGCAACCACTGATCTTTTCCTGTCTCCATAGTTTTGCTTTTACAGAATATCACAGAGTTGGGACCATACAATATGGAGATTTTCCAGAGTGGCTTTTTGAACTTAGTAATATATGTTGAAGACTCCTCCATGTTTTTTCTTGGTTTGATACATCATTTCTTTTAAATGCTAAGTAATATTCCACTGTCTGGATTGCTGCAGTTTTTCCACTTACCTAGTGAGGACATCTGCGTTGCTTCCAAGTTTTGGCAACTGTAAAAAAAGCTGCCATCAACATCCATGTGTAAGTTTTGTGTGGACATACGGTTTCAACCTGTTTGGGCAAATACCAAGGAGCATGAATGCTGTATGGTATGGGAAGAGTATGTTTAGTTTGGTAAGAAACTTCTGGACTGTCTCCCAAGTGGCTGTACCATCTTGCATTCCCACCCACAGCAAAGAAGGCTCTCCATTCCTCCATATGCTCACCAGTGTTTGGTGGTGTCCATGGTTTGGGTTTTGGCCATCCTCAGGTGTGTAGTAGGGTCTCATTGTTTTCATTTGCAGCTCCCTAAGGACATCTGACGGTGAGCTTTTCATGGGTTTACTGTCCATGTGTGTATCTTCTTAGGTAAGATGTTAAAGCACATCTTTATAATAAATATTTTAATAAAGATAAACATCATCGTGTTTGTTTGGCTGTTGCTTCCCATTACCAGTAATCAACATTTTATAAAATCTACAGTCCATGAACTAAATATATAAATCAAGAATGCCTAATTTTGGGGTAGCACATTGGTCAAGGAGACAGAAGATCTGGGTTCTGGTCCCTTCTTGCCACCAAATGTGTCATCACAGGCAAGTCACTTCCTTTTCTGAATCTCACTGTCTTCTGTAGAGTAAGGGGAATAGCTAAGGTGATTTCTAAAGTTTTCAAAGCTCTGAACTTTCTTTTATTTTTGTGTTTGATGTCATTCTCTAGAGTGGCCCATGTGAATATACAGACGTCTGAGCCCTTTGATTGCTTCATGAAAACTTTCATATTATCTCTTGAAAATTTTCCATACTTCTTTTCTGTACTGAAATGAAGAGTTTCAATGAGGCCGAAACCTAGCAACCGACTCGCTCTCCTGAAATATCTCACTGAATGTGTTGTCCGTGGAGTGTATCAGGGGAGAGAATATGCAGCAAAAATGGTAACCACGCTTCACATTAATTCCATTTGGTGACTCACCCACTCTGTCATCCAAAGATGGCATTGATCTAAATCATGACCTTTTCTTCTATCTCATACCATTAAAATAATGCCAGGAAAAGGGCAGTGACTCACCCCTGGAGCAGATTCTTGAGAAAATTAGCAGACCTTTGTTATGGAAATTCTGGTCCAAGGGTCTTTTATTAACTTCACCTGGTGAGCAAGCCCGTCCTTTGCCCAGCTAGTTAAGGGCCTCTTATACAATATGTCCTGTGGATTCAATCTAGCTCGACTATATTATTTTGTTGATTCTCTCCCCTTGCAATAGTACTCCATACTTTGAATGCACAAAGTAATTTTCCACTGAATCAGTTGCTAATTGTCATTGCCTCTGAAATTTGAAGGGGCTTAGGGAGTTTGTTTTGCACACTGGAATAGTTTTCATACAAAGTTTGTGGATACAAATCCCTCTATGCCGACATATTAATTGTGTGTCTGTACTTGGAGAAGTCGATACCTGGAGTAACATGAGTATTAAAATGATTGTTTTCCAGTTACCACAGGAGCACATCAGGGAGAAGAAAAATCTGCGTGTTTGGTATTAAAAATAAGGCCTAGGAATTAAACAATCGTTTGCTTTTCATTTCAACATACCCTGGTCTTATTAAATTATATGCCATGGCAATATTTAATAAGAATGATAATTGTCATTTGTGTTAATTTAATCCACACTTCTCTAGCCTCCCAAATTCTAGAAGGCACCGGCTGTAACTGTTTATATTCCTTTAATAAAATACTAACATAGAAACTTACTAAATACCTCCCACAGCTGGCAGCAACTATCCCATGATCATCTCGTCTCACTCTTCTTTGTACATCTGGGGCCCAGAAAGGGGGAGTAGCTTGCTGAAGGTCACAGAGCAAGTCATGGAGAAGCTGGGATGACACCTCAGTTCTCCAACGCGCAGGCCAGGCGCCTCAGCATCACAGTTTCAGGGGATAATGCTGCGTGCTCAAGAGAGTGTTAAATGATATTCTGTGCCTTCTGCCTAAGAAATATATAGTACCTGTAGAAACACTGCTTCCCCAAATGGTCCCAGTGTATAAGCTCTGGGACTTACAGGGGGCTGATGAAGACATTCTCAAAATTCCCTTCCATGGTCCCTCTTGGTCTCCAGTGAACAAGATGCTTCTAGATTCATGTTATGCTTCCAAGTCAGCAAGATTGATTTCCACAAGAGACACAAGAAATTTAGTGTCATAACTTCATGAACACCACATAAAGACCTTTGCTTTGCCAAAAGTACTAAGAAAGTCTTTTCCCTTAAAGTAGTGGAAATAAAATCACTCAAGTGTCATCACTGGAACAGATCATTCTGGAGAATAAGGAACCAATTACCACGTTTTTGAGGTAATAGCTATTTTTTCCTTGGGCTAGGTTGCTAGTTAATGTCTGGTCATCCTTGTTATAAATTTACTTCCTAGCAAATAAGGATTTTCTTCTCTCTGAAAGTTTGCAGACTTTCACAAGAATACTGCTGGAACTGAAAGTAAATAACTGAGTCAATTGCTTATGTTTCAGAATAGTGTTAAATGAATTTTAAGAAAACTTTGGGCAATTCAATAGTTGGTTGAATCATCATGCTAACGTGGAAGCTTCAGAGGCCATAAATAGAGTATTTACTGGTTTTAAATATCCACGGGGAAGAGTTAGTTAGATTGGATTCTGTCAGTCATCTCCCAGTCTGCGTCATTCTTAACTTCACTTTTCTGGAGGCTAAGGCTGTAGAGATCAGACTTTTATTTATTCATCCAGATATTAATTCATCGACTATTTAGGGAGTACCTTCCATGTGCCAATTCCAGGGGGACAGAGAGGCATGAAGGACATGGCGCTTGTATGCAAGTAGCTCCCAGCGTGGGGAGGGGAAATGGCGAGTAAGTAGGGACATTCCCTTTCTAGAGGTGCTCCCATACATGTCTGCAAGCCGTGTGAGGAGGGCACACAGGAGTCAGTGCCCCTTGGGTCGGGTGGGGGGGATGTTCCCTAGCGACTTCATAGACAAGGGGACACCTAGCCAGCAGGGGGCCCTGGCGGTGGGGCTGGAGCTGGGGGGAGGGTGTGGGAGGCACAGGGCAGGGCAGCAGGTGTGACATCAGGGTGCGAGGAGGTGAGAGGGCCGTGCAGCCACAGGGCACTGCGGGCCTTGGGAGCATTCTGCCTGGCAGAGGAGAGGCACGGCCGAGGCACAGGGCTGCAGGGGCAGAAGCACAGGGCTAAGAGCTAGGAGACTGGGCAACAGGGAGCCCGTACTGCTTCCTCACCCGCAGTGGGAGGAAGTGACGGGACAGTCCGCTGGTTTCCCCTGTCTTGCCAGTACAGACTGTGCTGCAGTGCACACCCTTGTGCAGGTCTCCTTGGGCACGAAGGGAGGCCCAGAGAAGCAGGCAACTTGCCCGGAAGCTGGGAACAGCTGGATGAATTGTGACTTATTCACACAATGGCGAAAGTGAACGGACCAGCTCTACACATAAAAGCACAGATAACATTGAGGGGAAAGAGGAATTTGAAAACAGCCTACATGCAGTGCAACACCATCTATTCAGAGTTTAAAAACACACAGAACAGTAGGGTGTGTGGGATACGTGGGAGCTCGGGAGTACCCAGGGCGCTTAGAGGAGCTCTCTGGGCAGGGCGGGGGGATTGTGTGCCTCTGAGGGGGAAGCAGGGTTTGGCCTTTGGCTGTCTGGTAAGGCTTTATTTATTAAAAAAAAAAGGTTAACTGAAGCAAATATGATAAAATGTCAACCTCAGTTAAATCTGGGTAGTGGGGACATAGGTGCCTGTTGTATTATTTTCCGTACTCTTTAGTATGTTTGATATATTTCAAAAAAAATTAAAAGTAGAAAAAAGAAAGGAAAAAGGCTATTGTATCAATTAGGTACTCTTGGCTAAAAGTGAGAGAATAAGAAAGAGGTCTAGTGATAGGGTTATTTATTTATTTATTATTATCCCATCAAGGGCTGACAAACTGCCGCCTGTTGTGGGCCAAATCTGGCCTGTTGTCTGTTTTTATATGTCCCATGAATGGGGAACAATTTTTACATTTTTAAATGGTTGAAAAAAATCGAAAGAAGAATATTCTGGGATATGTGAAACTTATGCGAAATTCCAACTTCAGTGTCTACAAATAAGGTTTTACTGGCACACAGCCACACCCATTCATTTAAGGACCTGCTATGGCTGCTTTTGCAGGGCAAGGGCACAGCTGAGCTGACACAAAGATGGGCAGCAAAACTGGCCCTTCAAGGGAGAGTTTGCTGACACGTGCCATTTAACAAAAAAGTCCCAAGGTTAGTAGTTGCAGGATTGGTTAATTCAGTAGTGTGATGATATTGGGGCTCTAGGTGGCTCCCTGTATGCATGGCTGCCATGTTGCTGCCATATCTATGGCTGCTATAGCTCTGAGCATCACGTATCACAGGACAATGTCCAGGGGTTGTGGTGGGGCTGGGGGTCTTGTGTCCTGTGTCTCTCACCTTTTAACTAACAGGGAGGATATTCTTTTCCAGAAACTTTCTAGCCGATTCCACCTTAAATCCCCCTGGTCAGAAGTGGGTCACAGGGCCGGACTTCCTGAGTCCAGGGAAGGCTTCACCTTGGGAGGGAGGAGGGGATAGAGCAGCAAATGCATGGGCAGCAGAACCTGCCCCAAGTATCAAGCTAAAAACAAAAAGATTGGGTCGGAAGGGGCAGGAGGGAATGTGGGGAGACCAGTTAGGAGGCCAGTGACCAGTGCCATCATCCAGGAGAGACAGGACGAAATGGTGGGCCTTGGACCAGAGTGTTGCCCGGGGCGGGCATGGTTGGATTCTGGGTATATTTTGAAGGAGGAGCCAGCGGAGGAGGGGATTGAATCACGCAGGACCCCAGGATTTCTGGCTTGGACAGCCGGTGTCTTCCGGGAGATGGGGCAGGCACAGATTCCGTGTAGAGATGAGGAGCAAGTCTCAGCATGCTCGCTGTTGGCCATATTTCTAAGTAATAGAGAGGTGGGAAAAGAAAGGGCAGACGTAGTATTTTTGCTTAAAAGTGCTACATCTCAGACTGTTATTTTTCTGTCCTGAAGAAATAGTCATTCACGAGTAGGTGGAAAAATGTCATATGCGGGTCCAGCATTTTGCAGTTTACAAAGTGCTTTCATACCCACTTTTCTATTTGACCCTCCACTCTGGAGATTGGAGGATTCCGCTTCGTTTTACAGATCAGAGAACTGGGGTGCAGAGACAAGACGTCAGTGGGCTGGCATGGAAGAACGGGGCAGAACGGGGTTGTTAAAACTGACCCTTGTCTTTCACGGGCAACGTGCTTCCTTTTGTTTTTATCTCTGGTGTACACCTGGCTGAGACTCCACTTTGTTTTTTTCCTCTTTAATATTACATGCAAACTTTACATTATTTTATATTTTAAAATATCTTCCTGTTATTTTAGTATCTCCATACCAAAAGAGCAGACGGTAATTTGCGTTGTTCGCTTATTTTTAGGTAATTGCACGTAAGTGTTTTGAATCATCTCTAAAAGCTTATTTCCACAGCACATAACAAAATTAATTGAATTGGTTTTTGAAGCAATGCTGCTTTGTTTCCCACTGAAACGATGACTCATGAGGTCTGACTGAGTCTCATTTATATTCCTCCCCCAGGAAGTCATTTAAATGTGAGTTATATAGAAAGGAAAAGAAAGAAAAAGCAAGGGAAACAACTGCACACAACAAGAAAACTGTCCTTGTTTACCTTTTTGACAAGTTGTCCTGGATGCCGAGTTACACAGTAGCAAAGGTTCTTAGTGACAGTGGCGTCAGTATCTGACATCTCCATGTCCTGGCTTGTGGAAATGGTGCAGAGAAGGTAGATTTTGGCCCAACACAAGGATATGTTTTCTGATGTGCCTCGATGCCCAGCATTGGTACCGTCTGGCTTGGGCGGCGGTGAGCTCCTTGAGGCATGGGTGTGCCAAAGTGGGTGTGGCCACCTGACAGAGAAGGCGGCTTGGTGGCCTCGGGGGAGGGGTTTAAGGATTTTTAAACGTAGCAGTGCGTGGTCCCTGCATACTGAAGGACTAGTTAAAAGCCCAGCCAGTCGGAGCCATGGGAGACCAAGGAAGGTGGGTTTGGGCTGGGAGGTGTGGCAGGATGACGGAGCATGGCGAGTGGAAATATCCTGAAGTAAACACTTGTTTTGACAATCACTTATTATTTTGTAATTAGACACTTTTCAGTAATTGGAAACAGCACCTAGCAGGCAAGAGACATATAATGAATGCTTGCTGGATGCCCACCTTCAGGGATTAGGAAAAGGAGGAACGGCTGCACGAATGGGCCAGGGCATGACGGTGTGGTGGCAGGAAGAGCAATGGGAGGGACTCAGATGCCCTTACGTGGACCTTTGAAGACTGGCTTTGAACTAAGGGTGACTTGGAGCCTGCATTCTGTGTGAACCTTGTGGCTTTGAGTTCTGGTGTTTCTTCTGGTGGCAGTGGGCGTCAGGGGTGGACAGAACCCAGCGACTGACGCTAGGTGCAGACGATTCAGGTCCACTTTAGTATTTTCCATTTTCAAGAGGCAAGTCATGGAAAAGCAATAACATTAGGGAAAGTATATCACAAGTTTCAAGGGACACTTCTGACTGATTTCCATAGTCTCCTGTGCCTTAACGTCCTCAGGGGTGAGTGGAGACCACGCTCGCCTGCGGTGCACCAATTTGTTTGAAGGGCAGCCAGATGACGCCTGTAAATCGCTCTGTGCACAGCAGGGGTGGATTCCAGGCGCCCTTATTGAGATTGCTACTCCTGTTTCTTGATTCATGGTGCTCATTTTAATATTGATTCTGGAAAAATTACCAAACAAAATGTAAATCCACTCCTGTTGCTAGCATGATCCACTTTGTGAAACCACAGATTTCACTCAAAGGCAACATTCCACAGAAAATCACTGCAGTTTAAAAATATGAGTCTTTGATAGAACCACCATCGAGTCTGCACCCATTTCATTGCCCTTCCAGCTGCAGCAGAAGGACCTCTTGGGCTGCTTGCTAACGGCATTCATTACCTGCAGGCCTGGGAACGGGCAGGCACTTCCAGGTCAGAACACTTCACCAGGCCCAACACTCCCATGGCGAGCAGAAACCTTCATTTGTAATCTCCAGTGGTCACTGCCACCCTACGCCAAGTCCAGATACACAATTGCCACCAAAAATGAGGGATTAGCTACAAAAGTTCCAGAAAGACCTCTTTCAAAGTCCTTTTTTACCAAGTACCTCCAAACAGAAAATGAAAGAATGATTCATAATATAATAACTACCCCCTCATTATTCCTTAATCTTTTATTAATATTCTTATTATGAATTAGAGGAATATGCTAAAAAAGGAAATATTATTGTTCTTTCTGCCTCCATAATAAACAACATTAATTATCTGCTGGAGTGCATCCCACTTCTCTACAGGGAATGAGTATTTGCTTTAGGACTGAACAAAATGGGAAATTATGACATCACTGAATCCACTTTTAAAATTAATATGAAGCACTTGTCATGAAAGTATGGATCTTCCCAACTGGGAAAAATGTGACTAACATCAAGTGAATCAGAAGTGCGGGCATGTTAGGCTGTTATTGACCTGAGCTCTGTCCAAGGAAGCCTTGGAGGCAATGGGCAGTTGTGAAAAGAAACACAAAGACAAACAAAGAAGACCAAAAGTCAAAATCAAATACAAAGACATAGTTGCCACTGGAATTCTTGCTAGCCGGCTATATTTTCACTGACTTCCTATCTGGTATGAAATAAAGTTGCAAAAGAGATCATAGACTCTTAGAGCTAGATGAGTCTAGATGTTTCTTAACATTCTTCTTTTTTCTTTTTTGAAACACAACATCTTTTCCTACCCAAATTTAATGTGGAAGGTCATTATGGGAACGTTTTGTGAGCACAACTACCCTGGCTGAGGTGCATGTATATGTATTGGGGTGTGTGTGTGTTTATGTGTGTGTGCATGCACACGTGCATGTGCACACATGTGTGGGGGACTGAGGAATGCTCTCTCACACCCACTACACCCACCTGCAGCCCCTGAGCACCTTTCCAGCAAGGTCATGGCCTTGAGGAGTTTAAGAAAAAGACTGGCCTAATCTAAACTCCTCCGTAAGAGCAGGCCCAGAGTCACAGAGCTGGCTGGCGGAGCCCGAGGCCGCTACCCAAACAAACCAGAGCCAAATCAGAGCTGAGGCTTCCAAGCCGGGCCCCCTCCGCACATGGGGCTCCTGAGCTGGGCTGTGGACATCTCACGCTCCCTTTTTTCTTGGCCCCTTTGCTTGAGGAAATTTGCCTGGACACTGAAGGGTGTTGCTATCACTAGTCAGCCCCACATTTCAGATGTTAAGAAACTTCACAGCTGGGATGTTAACGTGGATTCAGTCAGAACTGAGTATTCGGAATGAGTCATCTGTGGTCCTTTTGTCCTTGATTAATTTCATGACATTTATTTCTGAAAGGAAGCTCTGAAGCTGGAAACATCCTCATTAATAATAAAATTCCCCTTTTGGTAATGTAAACATAATTCAAGACCCAATTAAGATGTCCCCATTTTTTTTCAGTAAGGAAAGAACGTTTATAACTCAACCATATGCTCTTGTCCCAAATGCTTGTCGTCTCAATTTAATTGCTCATAACTGTTGGGCATGTAGAAGCTTTTGCAGAGTTGGAGGGTCGTATTCCAGGGCCTATACACAGAGCATTATCTGATGTCTTTCTACGGATGCTCATAAAGCCAACTTAGATCCTGGTGCATGTGCTGTTTCTAATGCATTCTGAGACATTAGTAATTGAATTCAGTTGATCTCTGCTTCAACACAACTGCCTGGCTTGCCGTCATTTAATTGATGAAAACTGGCACAAAATAAAAGGCTATCAGAATAAAGCTCGAGTTACGTTTGTGGGGCAGTCTGCTGTCTTGAAACCAAACAGCAGGGTTAAGAACATCCCAGCAGTTCAGTGCTCTTGCTCAGAGACCCGGTAAGTAGTTACTGCGCAGGGGCCGTCCCCGCCATCTGGAGCCGTTCCAAAGGCAGGTGCCGGGGAGTGGGCCAGAAGCACAGCGGGCAGCCTCACGGAGTTGTGGTCCATCCCCAGCCGGACACACCGGCTGGCTTGGCTGCACTTGAGCAGTGCCATTCGCTTAGGTTCGACAAACCACACCACATACCTGTGGCTCACCAGGCCCTGTACATGGCTATCGGGGCATGGAGCTGGGTGGGACACAGCACCATCTCAGGTAGTGAGGGGCAGGAGGACGGAGGCATAGATGGGTTGGCCAGTGCTACCACGTGGCAAGTGTGCCAAAGGAGCTATGGACAGGGTGCTCCAGGTGTCTGGGAAGGAAGCAGCTAACTCATGATGGAGGGCAATAGCAAAATCAGGGGTTTGGGGAAGCTTCCAGAAGGTGGTGATGGCTGAGCTGAGTCTTTTGTAAAGATTAAAATATGTCATTTTTCTTATGATCAGAGGATATGTATTTGTCAGAGAAAACAACTACTACTCCCAAAAGGCAAAACAAAAAACAAACAACACTGCAATGCCACCAGCAGAGATATCCACTGCTTACATGTGAAGAGTATCCTTTCAGTCTTTCTCTCTGTCACCTACATATAAACACAAATGCTTTAAAAATGTTCTCATATAGTGAGCCACTAATTTGCTGCTTCCTTTTAAGAAACCTAATAATACACAATGAATATTTTTTCACATCATTAAATACTTCTATGTAATATTCCATGGTATGGGGAACTCTGATTTACTTAACCAATTCTCTATCATGGGAATTTAAGTTCTTGTAGAATCTGCACTATTATAAACTACAATGAACATCTTTATGCTTAAATCTCTCTTCACATCTGTAATTATTTCCTTAGGACAGATTCCTAGCATGAAACTTGCTGGATCCCAGGCTATGCACATTCTGAAGCTCAATACCAACTAGCAGTGAGGGTTTCCATTTTCTTTTGCTCTTGTTGATACCAAGTTATTTTAAAGTATTGGCCAGGGAAAAATAGCTCAGGTGGCCAGCCTCTGGGACAGCCCCGGTGATCCTCACTGCCTGATAGTCACAGCTTTGTGTGGTCCTGTGGCCTAATAAATGGGCATGTCCTACAAGACCAGGGCAATATTGCAGAAGTGACAGGCATATACTTCCTTTTATAAATTAAATTTAAATCAATTTTTGCATATCGTAATGTTTCCTTTTTAAAGCTATACTGAGGAATAACGAACAAATAAAAATTGCATATATTTAAGGTGTACAATTTGATATTTTGATATATGTATACCTTGTCTCATTGTATGATCACCACAGTCAAGCTAATTAATAACCTCCATCACTTCATGCAGTTACCTTGTGTGTGTGTGTGTGGTGAGATCATTTATGATCTATCCTCTTAGCAGACGTCAAATACACAATATAGTACTGTTAAGTATAGTCACAGTGCTGTGCGTTAGCATTCATCTCACATAACTGAAGCTTTGTATCATTTGACCAACCTTTCCCCATCTCCTCCACCCTCCAGCCCCTGGCAGCCACCATTCTACTCTCTGCTTCTGTAAGGTCAACTGTGTTAGATCCCACATGTAAGTGAGATGATGCACTATGTGTCCCTCTGTGTCTAGCTTATTTCACTTAGCATCATGTCCTCTAGGTTCATCCACATCACAAATGGCAGAATCACCTCCCTTTTTCAAGGTTGCATAATATTCCCTTACATATATAAGGCATCTACTTCTGAGACTAGGTCATCAACAGCAATACTACCACTGCCTCACACTGTTGGGTTACTTGTTCTGGGGGAAACCATCACCATATCATCAGGGTGCTCAAGCAGCCCTATGGAGGTCCACATGGTATGGATTGAGGTCTCCTGTGTGCTGCCAGCACCAGCTTGCCGCCATGTAAGTAATCACCTTGAAGGCAAGGCCTCCACTTCATTTAAGCCTTAAGATGACTGCAGTCCCAGCAGACATTTTAATGGAGACCCTGAGCCAGAACCACCCAGGTGAGCCGCTCCCAGATTACTAACCTGCAGGAAGTGTAAGATAATCAATATCTAATTTTTCTGTGGGCTAGTCAGATTGGGAGTAATTGGCTATGCAGCAGTAGATAATTAAAGCAAGAGTTGCTGTATTTTTTATTTCTGTGACTTTTTAGTGAGGCTCACATTTTTTACAAATATCTGTTAACCATTTTATTTTCCTTCTTCATGCCTTTGAATCATATTTTTAGGGTGTTGGTCTTTTATTAAGAATATTGACTTTTTGCCCATCATAAACTGAGTGTTTTCCTTCAGGATTTATTCTCCTGAGGTGAGGCGTCAAGGCAAGAGGCTAAATTGAATGGTGGAGAGAGGCCATGAGATTGCAGGCAGAGGAGCGTCACAGGATGTGCGGGGAAGCTGCAGGAGGCAGCTGAGAACAACAAGGGAGGCAGGAGCACCAGGGAACTAGATTAGTGCTTCTCCACCTGAAGAATCACATGGAAATCTGCTTGGAAGGCTAATACAGCAGGTCTAGGGTCAGGCCTAAGTTTCAGGTAATGCTGATCCTGCAGATCTGGGCACCACACTACGTCTTTCTTGGTTTATGTTTGCTGTACTGCAGTACAGTGGAAGTACACGATATTAGTTCATGTGTACAACATAGTGACTCAACAATTATGTACCTTATGAAATGCTCACCATGATGAGGGTAGTAACCCTCCATCACCATGTAAAGTCATTATACTCTTATTGATTGTACTTCCTATGCTGTATTTTTCATGCCTGTGGCTTATGTATTTTAGAAT